TAATAAGTAATGTTTTAATTAATAATAATTAATCAATCATTAATTGTAAGAGTCTATTTCATAAAAAATAAAAATATAAAAAACTAATTGAACATAATAAAAAAATTAAAATTTATTTAAATATTTTTAAATAGTTTTAAAAAATTTTAAAATATTATGTCGAAATATATCCATTATAATGTATTTTATTTATAAATATCAGCTATAAACATTGTTTAACATCACTTTAACTTAATTTAAGTGATTAAAATATATGACAAGTAGAATTTTTAAATTTAAGCCATAGACTGTAAGTTTACATATCTCAAAATTATCCATGTTTAACTTTGTAAGAACAAAGCAGCCCCTTGAAGATGGTTTCCATCGTTCCATCTAGAAAGCAGAATCTATAAAAGGAATGCCCAAAGCACTATGGTGCTTGGTTATAAGCATAAAATAAGAAGCAAAGTCGATCTTTGAGAAGATCAAGGCATTCCTGATGGGAATGAACTAGTTACCTTTCTACTGGTTTTTCAACTCCTAGGTTGCCCTTTACTTCATTTTTCTAACTCAGTCTTCAAAACCCATGCCCACGTACACTTGCGTTAACATTAACAATGCAAGAAAAGGGAACAAGGGAATCCACAAACTTCCTTTTGATTCAATCCCACATCGCTCTTAATCCCAAGCTGACAATTTCTGTCACTAAAAGGGCCACTTGTCACGCATCCGAATGCACGCGTAACCTGCAAATTGTTATAATTAATTAACTTAACTTCTTTTTTTATTTCCAAGGCATTTTTTCCGAGGACAGTTCAATTATATTACCCAATTCGGATGCTAATAATTAATTGGAACAAAAGCCTATGAAAACTATGAAGAAGCTGTTGTTTTAGCTGAAAAAACTTAATTGCTACTAATTAGCAGCACGTGATATATCCAAGAATAATGGTCCAATCATCAATTCACAAAAATCAACCTTCGTCCTGTTCTTATCACCACCCAGGCCATCCCCTCAACATTGTTTCCCCTATTTTCTTCTCTCTTTACCAATTGCAAAGCTGGAATTATTAAAATTATTTTGGACACTTTTTTTAACATTTTTGAAAGAGAAGAGGAGAAACTCATATGCACATGCCGCTCTCCAAAAACTGCAAAGACTTGTGCATAAAGCCATAACCCCATTGAGAATTTGAGATGGTTTCTTGATGATGGTTATTGAGTTACTTGGGATGATGGGATCTTTTGTTTGCCTAAACTCAAGGGGCATTTGCTCTTCATTACTGGTAAAACCCAAAATTCAAAGATGATCAACACAAAGTTTAATGCTATGGTACAAATTATTAAGTATAGAACAAAAATCTCATACTTTTGTGCTGCATAACCCTTCTTTCCTTTTATCTCTCTCGCTTTTAAACCAGAGAAACGAACTTAATTTTTTTACTTTAGATATAACATGTAACCATTCTCGAAAGGATTCAATACCCAATAAAAGGAAAAGTTTTCAATCTTTTCAATCATCCCCAACAAATGTTTGTGGAAATGGTGACTTAATGACGTACGATTTTGTCCGTTATCCCGCAAAAACGGGCTTTCACTTTGGTATAAAATAGACCGAACCTCTCAAGAGCTGACCCACGCAAAACCTTAACCACAGATCGAAAAGAGGACTAGCCCCCCACCAACTGGCCCCAGGCCCCAGCAGCATTTTTCTCTTCCTGGGATAGGTGGTCAGAACACGGGTTAGAGGTGGAATTAGAACCTACTTTAATCATGTGGGTGAGGGGGACCTGGTCATGGTTGAGCTCGCAGGTTTTGTTTGCTTGGTGATGGCATTTCTCGCGACCGAAACAAAAGGAGATACAAGAAAAAGTGGGCCGACAGCTTCCTCCTTTAATTGGATAAATATGGCATCCTCGTTGTACCCAAGTTTTTGAGCAGTGCCTTTTCACGGGGTATGCTTTTCTTAGAAGGTTATGGGTATGTTTTTAAAATAAAAAATTATGGTATATAATAAAAATTTATTTTAATTTAAAAATTATGTCACATAAATTAACATGATATGATTATTAAATTATAAGTAAATTTTTTACGTATATAATTATATCTCTTGATAAAATGACATTAAAAGATTATGAGATAAATTAAAAAATAAATTTAAATGTAAAAAACTATTGTTTCAAATTATAGTTCAAATATTATATTTTAAAAATTAATGGTTATTATTTCATAAAGTGATTATTGAAATAATATTTTTATTCAAATATTATGTTTTACAAAATATAAAGATATATTTTAAACAAAGCGATGTCTTGATAAAATAGTTATACGAGACACTTGTAAACTTATATAAAGGGTTTATTACTAACCGTTTTAGCACACTAAAACAAATAAGACAAGTGCAAAAAAATTAAAAAAGATAGAAGTATTATGTTCTGAAATTAAATATAAATACTTAAATTCTCATCATCTGAATCCAAATTTCTTATAATCTATTTGTTGTAGAAAGTGAGTTTTAAAACTAAACAACTTTACAAAGTTTGAGTGCATCTAACGATTTACTCTTATAAAGTATAAAAACAAAATTAGACATTGACTCTATTATATCCGCTATTCGTATAACTTTCTTTTTGCATATCGATTAGTATGATGAAATAAATCTTAAAAATAACATATATTGAAAGACTTACCTTGAAATTAATTTGACTGATTCTTTGAATTTCATCTAAACCTTATTTACACCAACAATTATCACTCTATCCAAACATTGCTTTCATTTTTTCAAATGTTCAATTAGACAATGAGAGTGGGTATTACGTTCTCATCAATAAACCTTGCAACATCTTTTTCAAATAAATTTTTAATCTTTGAAGCATCTTTTTGTAAGATATGGGACAACTATTATTTTTAAAATTGAAAATTGGGTTTTGTCATCAAGGGTAGAGTTAGACAATTTTTATTTGTACTTTAATGGATTTCAATTCATCAATTATTAACTCTATACTTAATGCTAATAATGTCTTTTTCAATATAAATAACTAAATTATCTATAAAAAACTCAACCATCCATTTTGTTCCAAACTTACAAACTCATATATCATTTTTAAAAAATAAAACGTTTTAGTGGTGAGTTACATATAAATAATAAAATAAAAATAAAAAGACAAAGGAGGAGAGAAAGAAAAAGAAATAGGTGCAAAGAAACTTAAAAATTAGGATAGAGTTGAGTCTTTCATGTGAAATTATTTTATTATTTTTTATTTATATTAATTATGAAATAAAATAATTATTTTGAAGGGCATTAAAAAATGTTTATTTTACATAACTCAAAACTCTTATATAAACTCACAAAGTAAAAAAACATGAAAAGTAAAATAAAAAAACATGTTTTTTAATTTTATAATATATACAGAAAAGGAGAAAAAAAAAGAATGATTATGGAGGAGAAAGGCATTGACATAATTGAAAAAAAAAAACAAATAATCATATTTTATAGTTTTATTTGTAATTTGTGAGATTAGTAATCACTTAAGCCATGCACCAAAGCCATATTTCTTCCTAGTGATTAGAGACTGGCAGAATAGATTTAAAATAATAATAATAATACTAGTAATATAAAATAAAAGATAGATTGCTTTCAAGGGCGAAGGTGGAGGGAGGATGCTAAATGCGTTTATGAGTCGGGGTCAAGCCCAACTTCATCATATGTCCTAACCTGTCCCAGCCTTGAAAAACGAAAATGCGGGAGGGTTTATATCTGAGCCTGGGCCGAAAGGGTTTATAAGTGTTCAAGCCTGTCCAAAAGACAGCACTATGTACTTGTGGGCCTGGACAGGTTGTCTGGCCCGTGGGCAAATGACCTATGTAGGGATAGAATAGCAACAATGAAAATAATACCGTAGTTTTAAAAAAAAATCGAGAGATGCCAGCGTGAATATTAATCCTGTGACTGAAGGATGAATGTTATCTTGTGATTGCTAGTTGTTTCCTTTGTTAAACATTTTGATATAGAAAGGGGAAGGAAGATAACGACGTAAATGGGTAAGGCATTCGTTTTTCAAATATTTTATTTTAAATTTATTTAATTAAGAAGATATTAAATTCTATTAAAATTTAAATAAAATTATAAAATATTATTCGAAACTTAATATATTGACACTATTCATTAATTATCTGAACCTATTAAATATTATTTAAATAATTTAAATAACTAAAATAATATAAAAATAATAAATTTACATGTATTAGTTTATAAAAAGAAATAATATAAAAACATTTTTAGAATAATATATAAATTAGTTATTTAAATTGCATTCTTAAAGGAAAACGTTCAATTGAAAGAATATTTGTTAGATGCAATGCATGGTACTTCTAACTTGATTTCTTTTAACATATATGCCCTAAAAAATACTTAAATTAGAAAAACAATTTTGAAATGAGAGATTAATTTACATTAACACATTTAGATTAGTTAACTTATTTATTTTTATCAAAGGTGCAATTTTACGTAAGAAAGTATTTGAATTAAAATTTTTGATGATAGATATATGAACATATAAATAAGAGATAATACACTAATTATAAAATATTAATTTTTATAAATATCATTTTAATAAATATTTATAGACACCTATGAACAGTTTTATAATTTATTAGTTACTTAATAACTTCCTACGAGCAATTAGTAGCATTTCAAATAAACCGTCCATACCAAAATCAAAATTCAAATAAAACTAAAACATTTGTGACGGAACTCAAGCTGGGAAACAGTCACTTAACAAAAATCACAACAGAAGTTCAAACTTCGAAGACATGCCAGGATGTAAGTACCCAAGTTTTTCCTCTGTATTCTTGTCTGAAAATATATGATTTGTAGTGAAAAGACTAAAACACCCACCCTATCCCTTCCATAAACTCAAAATTATGTGTAATTTGGGGAGAAGGTGGACACCCATTCCGTCCATCCGGTCTTCTAAATTCTAACTTAAACAGACTCTCAAATAATAACCAACAAAGTCGAACATCCCATCGTTTTCTCACCCTGCAAACAGACCCTTACCCTCCACCCCTTTGAAAATGGAGGAGAACGCCAACAGAGCCGAAGCCATACGCCTACTAGGAATCGCCGAGAAGCTTCTCCAAAACTGCGATTACAACGGCTCAAAAGAGTTCGCAATCTTAGCCCAAGAAACCGAGCCCCTCTTGGACGGCTCAGATCAGATCCTAGCCGTCGCCGACGTCCTCCTCGCGGCTGATAAAAGAATAAACAACCACCATGATTGGTACACCATCTTACAAATTGATCGCCGATCCGAAGACAACGATCTCATCAAGAAACAGTATCGTCGCCTAGCTCTCCTCCTCCACCCCGACAAGAACAAGTTCCCTACGCCGATCACGCGTTTAAGCTCGTAGCCGATGCATGGGCCGTTTTATCTAACACCTCAAAAAAATCCCTTTACGATAAAGAGTTGAGCTTGTTTACGAGGATTGATTTAAGCAGCGCCGGTGATCGTTCCAATCATGCAGGGAAATTACCGGTCACCAGAAGAGGGCAAATCAGGAGCGCGTGCAACACCACTCGCCGAATTCGAAGACGCAAAATGAGAATCGAAAGTTAAGGTTATCCACATTTTGGACAGCATGCCCCTACTGTTATAGGTTGTTTGAGTATCCTAGAGTTTACGAAGGTTGTTGTTTAAGGTGCCAGAATTGTCAGCGAGCTTTTCATGCGATTTTGATTCCGACTTTGCCACCGTTGGTTCCAGGAAACGAAGCGTATTATTGTTGCTGGGCGTTTTTTCCATTAGGATTTTGGATGCGATCAGGAGGGTGGAGGAGGAAAAGCGGCAACGGGATTCCCGAATTGGATGCTCCTATATTTCCGCGGAGGGCAGCAGGCAAGCGAGAGAAATGGAGGTAGTGTGCCAGCTGTGGCAACACCGCCGCTTCCGCCGCCGCCGCTGCTACAACGACCGCGAAGAAGGTGGTCGAAAGTAGGAATAATGTGGTTGGGAATGTGCCCGAGTTGGCCCGAAGGAAGAGAGGGAGGCCGAGGAAGAATCCTCTGTGAGGGTTGATTGGTAATGCAATATGGTTTTTTTGGTCGCTCTGGTAAGAAGGAACCCTCAACGTAATGCAAGAGTTTTGGAGGCGGAGACGGAAAAAATTGTGATGAATGGAAGACTAAGGTTGAGGCTGTACCTCTGCTTTGTTGGGGGAATGTGTAGGTATCTTTCTAGTTGTTGTTAATTATTATTTCTGTTTGTAGATTGTAGATTGTTTTCGTGTACTGACTGCCAAATAGGTGATTATGTAACATAATGGTATATGCAGCAATGTCAAGTCAGCAAGTTCTTTCCCCATCGATTTTGAGCAACTTCTGGTTTTGGTGTTTGATTGAATCTGTGCGTTTTCTAGTCCTTAGTTTCTTGGATTAGGGTGATCTTGTAGGAAAATATTGGTTAAATATCACTGATGTTGACCTCAACTTTTTCCTGCAATTGTGAAATAGGAAATATTTGACCAAGACTTTACCATAATTCTTGTTGTCTGCAACAGTATTGGTTGTTTGTGTATGTTTCTCATATTCATGGATCAAATTATATTGTTAGAATGGTGCATCTTCCATGATTCATATGACTCTTAACTGCAAATGGATAGTAACGGTGATATTGGTGGTTTTATACATGAGCCCTGGAGTTTTCCATGTGCTGTGGACCTTGTGGTCCAAGTATTGCTTAGTTGATGGGCAGAGATGGGATAGCAGGTAAAAATTACACTGTAAATTCCACATGCAGGTAACCATGTAGTTTCTTTTTGGGCCTTTAGGTTTGGTTTTTGATTTAGTTGACTCTATTCCTTTTGCTACTAAGTCCCTTTAAGTTCTGCTCCTCAGATTATGCAATCAAATTGCAATGTTCTTTATATTTTGGGTTTGTTAATTATCAAAGCATTTTGCAATGCCTTGACCTAGCAATGAGAGATTGATCCCAAGCCAGTCAGTCTTGTTTCTGATTCGATCAGGTATGTTTGCCTCAATTGTCGATCATGCACTTTTAAAATTGATCTAAATCTCTGAATCTTATTGAAGCATATTGCTGATTGCTGAGAAGAAATCTTGGCAATAGACAAAACCAGGTGAGCAACCAAAAAGTTGGGAAAGATAAGACTTGACTACATTTGGTTTGTAAATAATTTTTTCTACAGCTCTACATTCATCTAGTAATTACATTGTTGTAATTACACTCAGTGTGTGTGATACAAAATAAGTAGCAGATGATGCTCAATAATTACCGACTATCTGAGAGTGATTCAATAATCCTCAAATTCATCTTTGGCGAAACAGTTTTCTCTTTGGAGATGATCAGCATGATGAAAGATGCTAGAGGAGGGTAATTTTCTTTGGTAGCCCAAATGATAAATGGTACTTGTCTCATAGCAACACATTGAATGATATTTGCTTACTATTTGTTAATGGCACGAGCTCAAGATTTTTTATTACAGACATAAAGCATAATAGAAGTAGAAAATTGTTATTTTTATAAATCATGTTGCAAGCTGCAAACATACCAAGTGATGCAGCTTCTGCTTAATTTGTTTGTATTGTCATATAAATTGCAAGTTCTTGCTGACATCTTCAACACAACTGCAGGCATATGTACCTGATTTGACTGTTGAGGAAACAAAGATGCCTGTTTAAGGAAGAACTCGAGAGTCATTGCACCCATCCTACCAGGTGTGCAACTCTGTATGACAGAACTAGTGAAAGCAGGTTTCAAATGACCGTGGACTTGTATCAGTCGAACCCATTTTAGCTCTATTTTCAGTTTCTCCCCTTATACCTCCTCTGCGCAGATTTCAACTGTATAAGCTTACAGACGAATGGCAATATATGTGTAACATGAACTTGGTTTCAAGGTTTTTCAGTTCTCTTATTTGGTCCGGCAGTGGGAGGCTCTAAGACCTTTAAAACGCAGAAGAGATCTGAAAGCTAAACAGAGAGAAGTTGCCATGACCTTGGGATGTGATGTTTGGGTTGCAGATGTTAGGCTATCAAGGGCGAGATGAAGAACAGGCACGGATTACCCTGTAGACTCCATAGTTGGTCTGATGCTTTCTTCCTATCTAGCTGGTATGTTGTAGGAACCTGGTAAATAGCATGAATAAAAAGACTCGAAACAAAGAGCCAAAGGATGTATATGCGCGCCCATCGAGAATTTGAATTGCGGATTCCACCAAAGCTAATAGAAAATCACTCACGAATCCATACAAATTCAATCGACCTCAGCAGTCACATTCAACTGCCTATTCTATCAAACTGCAATCACATCGTCCTTCCATTTTTAGTACACAACAGTAAACTAAATCAAGGGCTCAAGCGGGACCACCAAAGGCGTCACATATTGCTGCAGATCCAGAAGAAAAACAAGGGAGGCACGGTTAGGAGTATCGAGTTGATTGTAAGCATCAAGAATTAGGTAGAACCAATTAAAATCCTGGCTGATGCCTGCTCCAACATCAAAATCCCACTAACCTTTCATGATTTATTGACATTCAACTCGAAACAAAGAAGAGAAGGAAGTGAAAAAGAAGCTAAAATCAAACCCCATGGCCCAGTTAACTTCGCAACATGAGGATAGAATATTTACAGCAAGAAACAATTGAGATGTATAAAATACAGAATTCGGTATATCGTAAATCACTTTAAAAAAGAAAAACAAAATCCAATATTTCACAATGTAAACTGAAACCATGGCAAAACAGAAGAGTTAGAAAGCCTGAGACACTTGCTTTGACACTTTCTTTAGACAAATATCATTCCAGTTAGGCACATGATGCTGGATTCACACCACCCGTTCTAGCACAAGCATAGGCACAGGCATCAACCTCGGAGACACCGCCAATAGTAACGCAACTATCAGTTGTCGGCTCTTTGGATACCGAGCCAACTTTCTTCAACATTCTTTTTGACGTGCGAACCCTCTGGCAAACAAAAATTGTCAGTGTTGATTTTATTGTCGGAACTCTTGTCGCCGCCTTTCTCCATCTTTAGAGCTTGTTCTTCGGTTCTCCTTTACTTCATCGGAATGGCTTGCCCTGCTATTGCAGCTGGTATTGCTGCCCCCAAAAAAGACCACCATGGATCTACCATTGTCAAATTTTTATGTATATGATTTCTTGAATGAAAAAAAAAACCATTAAAAATGAGAAATTTTATGAAATTGTTACCATCCAACAAGAGAGGAACAAAAGGTGGAGGATAAAACAGAAAAGGAGAACTAAACAGGGAGATTGGATTGAGAATGGAGAGAGGTTGTTGAAAGGGACTTTAATAAGTGTTCTTGTTTGCGGGATGACGTTGTACTCCAAGGAATTGTGGACCGCGGTGCATGGGATTCGAGATCGACGGTTGTGAATTGATTTACGCTACGTGGGTGCATATGTGCCTTGAACAGAACGGTCCGGTATGACAGAATATAAAATATATAAAGTAAAAGAAGGAAAAAGAAAAGAAAATTTCATGACAAAGCTATGGATTACCATTAAATAAAAAAATATAAAATAATTATTTGGTTTTGGTTGTAATTTACCTTACATTTCAACAGCAATTTGGACCATAACGATGTTAAAGTAAGGGTATTAAAGTAAAAAAGTGAGTGTCCCAAAATAGAAAATATTTTAGAGGAGGGTGAGTATGAAATTATGCCTTAAACACGCAAATTTAAATATGTCTGACGAACTAAATGACGTTGTCTTCAAAATTAAAGATAGATTTCCAAATGTAATTATATTTTTTTATGATGTGAACCAAACGCTGCCTTACCGAAAAGAAAACTTGCAGTCCCTTGTGAGCATCAACCAAAAAAAAGGGCATAAATAAAGCTGCCATAAATAAAGTTGCCTGAAACGTTTTTTTTTTTTTGAACAAAAAGATAAAAGCTGAAAGGGAGCTCAGAGGTAGAAAGGCAATGGAGGCTAGGCTGTAGAGGCTGTAGCGTCATCAAGTCACTGGGACCAAGCATCAACCCAGAGAAAGTTATTGGGTTTTTTCGAGAGTCTCTCTCATTACTCTCTCCATTCACTCGCTATTAATTTTTTTTTTATAAATTTATTTCATTTGCGTCAGAGCTACTGGCTCTCTTCTCTTCTTGGACCAGCTCCATTTCTTCTTCTTTCCAAGACTGTAAGTTCTTCCGTTTGATCTTTACATTTCCTTTTGCCTTTATCTTTTGGTTTTTTTTTTTTATCATTTTCCCTTTTTTTCCCCATTTTTTTGCGTATGCAACTTCGGTTACTGAGAAGATGTTGGAAAAAGTAGCTGAAATCTTGGTTTTTGCTTGGTTTAAGAATGAAAAAGATATGGTCTTAAATTTTCTTTCACTTCACTTTCGTCTCATTTCCTGCTAACCAAACGAGTGGTAAAGATGGAATCCCGTTTCCAGTGTCTGTCAGAATTTGCTCATATAATCACATATTAGAGTTAATTTATGACATTTATTAACCCTTGTTGAGGTAACCTTTGCTTTTTAAATCAACATATCTCGGAACTCTGTTGGATTTGGATATGTAAAGTGAAACTGTGGTGTATATGGAAAGACAATCAATTACAGTAACTTTTTGGGTTTTAATTGACCCATTACGTGAAATCTATCAAAAGAATATTTTTGGGTTTTACTTTTTGGTGGCAAATTTTTATGATGGTAAACTAGTGATCATGTATGATATGTCTTTTACATACTGGCTTTTGAAACCAGATTATGTGTAGATCAGAACAAAGACAAGCTTCGAATGGTAAAAGTGCGGAAATTCATGATAACAATGATGGTGAGGAGGAATCTGCAGCCCTGCAGTTGGAAGGAGCGGTGTCGCTAGGAGGCTTAATATGGATTAAACTCCATGGAAACTCGTGGTGGCCAGCACTGGTATGCGTAATGCAGTGTTAGTTGGTCTTGCAACTTGTTTATGCGGCCTTCTAGAAATTGATTAGCCTTTTCAACGGAATTACGCAGTTCTGTGGATTTTATTTATCAACTTGATATCGTGTCAGGTTGTTGATGAGAACAGTGTTGATGGGAGCAGTAAACCTGGAAATAGATCAGAGGCAGAGGTGCTTGTGCGTCTATATGGGAGCTATGAGTAGTCAGTTCTCTCTTTCCTTGCTTGATTGTTGTGTTTCTTAGAGGAGGGAAAGATAAAAAACTGTCTTATGGATTTTACCAGTCTTAAGAACTTGTAAGGATTTAAATTGTGTCATCAAAAGCATGCAAGGATTGAAGTGTGTCATATGTCCCCTGCAGCTTATATGCAGACCCTATGAAATACTATTCTGAGTTTAAAATGGTAAGGTTGATCCTGTAGTTCCATCTTTGTGGTTCAACCACTCGTGTGTTAGACTGCATTGTTATTGCATTCAATTACTTTAGTAATCATCTTGACATGCTGTCTTTATACTGGCAGGTTCTCGAGCAGAATAACGGTAGTTGCCGTGAGATTTTTGACAAATCTTTGGAGCAGGTAATAGGTTTCTTCTTCTCTCCCCTACCTTATTTTTTCCTTTCACCAATCAAAACCCTATTCCTTTTATGGGTTATTTTTAAGTTGGTTCTTAGTAGGGCAGACCTGCCTGCCATAGTTAGTAAACTGCTCCTACAGATTGTGACTTTATGGTTCTTCCATCATTTTGGATATGGCTGTGGGATTGCTTCCGTAAGAAATCTATTAAACCAAAAGCCAAGGATCTAATTCTACTGGTTAGCCTTCTTTATTTTGCTCATTCCTAATCAGATCATATGCCCCAATACATTGTTTATTGTGTTGCAATTGTACAATATGATAGAACAACTTTTATTGCAATGATCTTTTAACATCTGATGGATAGCATACAAATTGACTGGCTTGGTTATCCTGAAAGAAACTACAGAAGCAAACAACAGAGCCTTGGAAGATTGATTTTATTTTTGTCACCTGAATGGAAAGTCGAATTATTTACATCCAAAGAAATTGATGTGTTAAATCAGTTCCACTTTCTGATTTTGATATTATGAGCTTTAACAAATTAATAACCTCATAGGATAATGTTATAATTCAATCTCCTATAAGCACCTAAGAATGTTTTATGAACTAATCGTAGCTGGTTTATTGGCCTCTGTTTAGTATTAAAAATTCTTTTTTGAGCCAAATCTGAGATTGCCTTGATCAAGAGTGAAACCTTCTGTGCACTTCAATGAGTGCTTTTTGCAATCCCATGTAACTTAGCTACTGGTTCTTCACATATGTGCAATTCTTAGACGGTAAGAACTGTTTAGAACTACAAACTTCTAAGGACTGATGTCTATCTCCTTTCTCACCCACCAAATTAAATAAAGAGATTAGATACCTTAAAGATACCTAGGCCTTTTCCTTATAGAATCTCCATAAAGTTACTACCTCTAGAGTCTAGACTCATGATGTAATCAGCATTATTAAGATATGCACGCTAAACTGTGTTTTTGAGACCTTACATTACATTCTTAGGATTGCCATATTCACTACCAATTTGCGTGGTAACTTGATGTTTTAATCTCATGTTTATCAAATTAACATCTTGGGCATTATGTTTTCTCCTTTTTGCTACAAATGGACATTTGATATTATGAAGATCTATATCCTGGACTAGTAAATAAATTGAATCAAAATTAAGTAAAAGGGAATAAGGGGGATGACTCAAATCCTGTTAAGTTTAGTTGCCATCTTACATTCTTGTAATTTTAAGCTGTATTTAGTTTCTCTTGTTCGGCAAGTGGCTGTAACATGTAAGCCTGGTTGCCAATACAGGTTGCAACTGCTAGGAAAAGTAAAGCAGTGAAGGCTGATCTTGGCCAATATTCAATGGGCACTGTTTTGGGCAATAAAAGCACCATGCGACATAGTGCTAGGAAGCGTTTGGTGAGTAGTGGTTTTTTCTGAGTGCTGGACAAATTTGTTATCTGTATGTGCGTTTGATACTCTTGATACCACTATTCTGCAGAAGGATGTGAATGATGGTGAGGCACCTTATAAAAAGGTTCAAGAATCAAATGGGGTGAAAATGAAACGTGAATCCAATGAGCCAAGCACTAAGGATGTGGTAAATAGGAAAATTTCTAAAAAGGATAGGCTTGTGAAGAAACTCAAACCAAATAGCCCGTCTAGAAGAAAGAATCCCAGGCAAAATGGATCAAATGTTGAGGACAAAGCTAGGAGCGGGACTTCTGATCAAGGTGAGATTCAGCAGAAACTCAAGCGAAAAAGCCCAAGTACTCATAAACAAGCTAAGAATAAAGCCAATGCACAAGAGAGGGTGCAGAAGAAACAGAGGAAAAATAACCAAATTGTGGACGAAAGAGCAAAACATCAAAGCTCCAAACAAGATGGAGAGCAGAAAAAATGCAAGCCAACTCGGAAAAGAGCTCGTGAGGCAACAAAAGTCCCAGCTGGGGAGATGCAGAAGACATCCAGGCAAAAGAGCACAAGTAACAGTGAAAAAGCTAAGAACAAAGCACCCATGGAAGGTGGGGTACAGAAGAAACTTACAAATGATAAACAAAGTGCTAAAGATGAAGTGAAAAGCAAAAGTCCCAAGCAAGGCAGTGTACACAAAAACCTTAGGTCATCAAGCAGCACAGCAAATAGAAAAACCAGTAAGCTGGATAGGGAGCAGAAGAAAACGAGGTTAAATACTAGAAGTGCCAAGGAAGTTTCAAATTCTGAGGGAGGAAAAAGGAGCAAAACTTCTAAGCAAGGTGAAGAGCAGAAAAAGGTGAACCCAAAGGGCTTGGATTCTGATGGCACAAAATTCCGAACTCCTAAACAAGATAAGCTTCAAAAGGAGAAGACTAATAGTCCAAGCTCTGTGAGTATACTCAATTCTTTTCCCAATTTTTCCTGCAAGTCTTTTTTTCCTTTTTGGTCCCAGCAAAAAAAACTTACTTTCTAATCTAATTGTATTTACAAGGAGAGAACTTCACCAGGAAAATCTCCCAAGTCAAGCGCCCGAAGGATGAGAGTGATGCAAGGTCTTGGTTTGATTGCACCGTCTGGTTCACCATTCCATTAGAATGGACTCGATTTAACCAAGTTTGTCATGACAAGTTGCAAAAATATCATGTCCGATGGCATGCTACTGTTGCAGTCATCTTTTGATGTCATAATGACATAGCTGTCGACTGTATGGTACAAAACTCTAGTTCATCGATAAGCATAAGGCAGATTTACAGCTGCCCCCATTGAAATCCTTGAATATTTTGTGAAAGTATTCAATGACCAGAAGTCCTTAGAACAGTTTTAATTTTGTTCTCATTGAAACTTAATTAGTAGTATGCGGATAAATGGATGCTACCCCCAATTGCAACTAGAGCCTACCATGTTATTCTGTGAACAAAGATTAAGAACTTTCCATCCCATTTTCTTTCACTTTTCTCTCCATGGTTTCAAACTCTTACCTCTCATCCTTTTGTGCTTTTGCCCACGTCTCGGCTTTGCTCTTTTCCTAGCGAAGCACCGGGGGACAAGCGAAAAATGGGTTATAAAGCAACCAAATTTGAAGAAAGCGAAACGAGCATTGCTTGTGCATAAAATTAAAAAAGGGGGCAGCTTTTTTGGACCTTCCGTAAGTTTGAACAGTGCTCCCAGTTTTTGCTTTGCCTTTAAAGGACCTTCCATTTTGCTGCCTATGGGAACCAACGTCCCATCTCTCTTGACATCTTGTTTTGCCCTTTTCGTTTCCATTTCTTTCGTTAACCTTTGAACTTCAGCTTTTCCAGAAGAAAGAGGCGGATTCCCGGTACGGTGTCAAACTGTTATTTCTGACGTTGGTCCCACACAGTCTTGGGGCTTTGGCAGTGGAATATGGAAGAACGCTAGACCATTTGCCTACCATCAGTAAGGATCTTCTCTTGTTTTTCCTTCTAGGTGAAATCCCGTGCATTAATTAACTCAACATGGAGCATGTCTCTTCCATATTAGTTCTACCATCAGTATCACCATAGTTTACAAGTTTAATTATTTAACAGTAACAATATATTTTCATTCATTTATAATATGAAGATTAATCACAAATTTTTAATGTGAAAAATAGTTTTTTAAAAATGCTTCTCAAAGTACTCCATGTGTCAGGTATTCTGTAACCTTTAATAAATGCATATATATATATATATATACTACTATTCTATTACTAGAAAAAGAGAATCCTGTTCTCCATGTGTGAATTGCTAGTTGCTAGAGTCGGTGGGTAGCAATGAATTTTCATTCTATGCCAAGACATGAGTCGGGGCCCTAGAAACATGCCAATTGCAGCGAGGAAATGTCATGTTCACAGTGTTTAAGATGTAGGAAATCCCTTCGCCAATGTTGTCGGGGTCGCTGGCATCAGATGTTGATCTCACCTTTCTGCGACGTTCAGGATCTGGTGGGGGTCTACCCAACACTCTCACATGCCATTTTTACAGATTGCCCCTCTTCTTCACTTGAAATTTCTTCGGTTAAAAAACAAAATTTGTCCCATTTTTGGTCACCGATATATCCACTAAACATATGCAAGAACCGGAGGGTTCGTGTGGCTTTTACAAGGCAAGTAACCAGGTTGAGAATACATATTAGCGTACTTTCACTCATTGCTTTGAAAGCAAATTCAGAGATAACATGAAGTTAGTAAGTATGATTTTGTCCCGTTTTGAAAGCAAATTCTAAACAAGTTGCGAACCTGACTGACACAGTGATATGGCTTCGAACAAGAAGCAGACTTTGATCATAACAATGATAATATCGTGTGGAAGTAAACAACGCAGTGAGCAGCAGCAGTGGAGAGAAAAGAAGAAAAGAAAAACAGGGGAATGCGTGTGAAAGTGAAGCAGTGAAGTCGATGACATTGTCGGCCGCATCATCATTTACCTGATCCCTCTCATCGGGTAAAAGCTGTCGGCGCCGCCGTGACTCATGTGCCGTTGCTAAGCTTACATTTGGATATGATTGCCCAGACGTTCCCCGTTTCTCTTTTACACCAAACCCCATTCCTCTTTTCTTCACGTCAATTAGTATTAGTAAAAGTTTCAAACCCAATTAACAGTCAAAATTACTTATCGATCATGCTTACTTACTAGTTAAGTGAGTTTTGACCATTATTCTGTTTTTACTAGTTCCAACTTTTAAAATTCCCTTGTTGGTTTTTGTTTTTTACGCCAACCAAATCCCACCTCGGAGAACGATAATTCACCTTTTATTAACAGTCATAATCATCGATTAGAAAAATAAAAAATTTAAAAAAAAAAAACCAATAAGTGCCTGTCTATGTGCTTCTCTTCTTTTACTTCCACTTCTTCTAAACTACAGTTCTCGTTTCACTCTCTTCTTCTTCTTCTTCTCTCCTCTACTACGCTTCTTGTTGTTCTCACCATAATATCATAAGAAAAGAAAATGTTTCCTCTGAAAAGTTTCTGTGGGTTAGAGAACAACAGCCCCTTCAACTTAACGGAGGGTGAGGATTCCATCAAGACTTTGTCAGAGAAAAAATCTACGGAAGCCTGTAAGAGTCACAAGGAGGCTGAAAGGAGACGCAGGCAACGTATCAACGCCCACCTCTCCACTCTCCGCTCTCTCCTCCCCAACACCACCAAGGTTCTTTACCAAATAAAAGAAAATACAAGTATTCTATTACATTAACGTTATATAATTTGTTCTTTTTTTTTCTTTTGAGTTGTTGGTATTTTTTGGACAGACGGATAAAGCTTCGTTGCTGGCGGAGGTTGTCCATCACGTGAGGGAGCTAAGGAGGCAAGTAGAAGACGTAGCGCGACGTGACGTTGACGGTTGCTGCAGTAAAAGCCAACCGGAGCTTGAGTCGTGGCCGTTTCCAGGGGAACGCGACGAGGCGGCTTTGAGCCTTTATGATAAGGAAGCGAAGTTGTTGAAGGCGACAGTCTGTTGCGAGGATAGGCCCGGTTTGAACCACGATTTAAATCGGGTGATCAGGTCTGTTCAGGCTAGGGTGGTTCGGGCTGAGATGACGACGGTTGGTGGGCGAACCAAGAGCGTTGTGGTGATGCAGTGGGGCGGCGATGTCGAGGAGATTGGGCCCTTGGAACGGGCTTTGAAGGATGTGGTGGCGAATCGGGTGTCTGTCCTGGCCCACGGGGAGGGGCGTAAACGGGCTCGGGTTATTGCGTCGGATAATGAAAATGGTTCTGGGTTTTTGGTTGACAGTGTTTGATAATTGATATTGTTGATGTGATAGAAGTAAATTAGTACAATGTACTTATATCTTGTATAGGAAACAAAATTAAATGAAAAACGAGGTTAGTCTGATATTGTTGCTTGACTGATATGTAAAAAAAAAAAAAATCTTTGTTAATGTTTGATTGCAAATGAAAAATTGAGATCTCTTTATGTAAGAAAGGCCTTTTGGACAGCTGTCGTCCATATATGAACCTGCAATTCATTTTAATATTAGGATATGATAGATTAGATTGCTTTGAACTTATTTTTTCCCCATACTTGACATTACATCTCATTTTCATGTGAATGATCGATGATAGATTTAATTTGAACTAATTACCGTCATATTTTAATGTTACATCAGAATACACTTGATCCCGATTGTGAAATTGTGAACCTTACATAGTGCTACGTGGTTAAGTTAGCTATAAAAATGACATTAATTAGAAGTGAACAGAATCAATTTAGATTAATTATTCGGTCAAATTAAATGTGATTAGAGTAAAATGGTTTGATTAATTGATTTTTAGTTAGTTTTTTATTTTAAAATTTTTGGATCAATTTGACTAAAAAACCAAACTAATTATATATATTATATTAATATATGTAATATTTTCTATATATATTTAAAAATTGATAATAAACTTAATTAATAATATATGTAAAATATATTAATTTATTATATATACATATATAAATTTTAATAATAACAATTTAATATTAATTTTATTTATTTGTAAATCTATATTAATACGAAGTTACAAGTTATATATAATTTTGACATTTTGAAGTGATGGAAACTCAATAGTCAAAAGTTATTTATCCTTGTCTAAATAACTTGTGATGTGTTGGCGATTCCAACCGTTCTGAATCAGCTTTTAACATTATATAAGCCCTTATTAGTACTCAAGATTGATGTAAAGAGTTTACAAATATATTATTCACACTTCAATTGAGATAAATGTTAAATTTTATAAATTTTCACATAAAGTTTTCATTTTTAATATTCTTTTGCTTTGTTATTAAAAAAATTTATACTATTTATATATTTTTATTTTCTTTCAATTGTTATATGGTTTACAAACGTGAAGAGTTAAGTCATGGAGGAGTTCAAGTCGATAATTTATGATAGATAATGGTTTTGTGTTTGTTTTATTTTGTAAATGTTAAATTTTTTTTTTTTTAACTTTGTGTTATGTTAAATCTTAAATATTAATTTGATGATTTATGTAATAAAAGATGTAATTATGTAAGTAAAGGAGTAAATGTATATATTTTTTTATATTTAAATTATTTATATATTTTATAATTAGAGATGAAATTTATAAATTTTAACATTTAATTTGTAAAAAATATAAAATTTTGATTCATTGATTCAACCCTAAACCATCTAAATTAAATTAATTTTTTATATTGAATTAATTTTAATTAATTTTACAAAAATAATTAATTTATTTGAACTTTGGATATGATGTATGAAACCACCAAACCTGTCCATTCGCTTGGCTCAGACATCAGTCGCTTGGGAAAGGATGTAGGCCACTAGTTTGTTGCTTTGAATGACTGTTGACCATAAACTCGGCAGTTGAAGGGAACGGGGACCATTTCTCACTTTGGTTTTTGAGTTGGCATTTTCAAAGTTTTCGAGAGGGCAAAAGAAGGGTTTTGCTTGTTCAGATCCCATAAAGATTGGATAACTATTGGTGTATGATTTGCTTGGATAAGCATGCCTTAGGCGTCTTCGTCACCCTCTCAATTATTTATTTAATATTACACCAGTATCTTCCAATATATTAGTATTTGATATCCGAGCTGCCAGCAATCCTGGAAGAAAAAAAACTGAGTGGAAAATAATTTTACGTAATGATGTGGAGAACCGATCAATGGATATGCCTAGAAGAAATAAAGACAAAAGGAAATGAAGTGTCTTAAGGTCGTTTAAACCGTAGCAAATGCAAAGGCGGGGAGAAAGATGGCCTGGTTAATCCGTAAGTATAATCTTTATCCTAGAAAACACTGAGATAACAGAGTATATTGAAGGTTTAATTTTCTGACATCTAAACGTTAAATTCAGGATCCAAAGCTCGATTGCTTGTATCAGCAACAAGGCCATTGCGGGCACCTGTCGACTCTTTTCATTGCTCACGTTTCTCTGATCTTACTGATCACTCTGTTTTCAGTTTCCCAAGGAAATGGCTTCGTTCAAAGGCGGTACGTTCCTTCTTCAACTTGTCCTTTTTCCTAGCAAAAGTTGTATGCCTTAATTCTGTTTTTCTTTCTAACTGATATACTTGGATAGAGGAGATTGAATGATGTGGATGACAACCAATCAGGATCATCGTCCTCACCCCATATCAATAGGTATCTGACTTCTGAAATCTGTTTTTCTGGTTATTCTAAGAGATTAGTCATTCGATGTTAAAATTCAGTTCTTGGTCCTGTTAAGAGTCCAAGCACCGATTCAATCGAATCATCAGCGTATAGCTTCAGCAGTTGGTCACTTTTAACCAGTTTAGCTCTGTAAAGAACGGAAGCAATATGGACCTTGTTAGGAGGACTGGTGTTCTTAGAATTTCATCTTATTTTTTCCCAGTTGGTGGCGGTGCCATACGTCAAAAGAGTTGTTGATTCTGCAAATTTTTGCTACTGTTGAAGCTTTAGATTGATTTTATGTGGACCCAATTTTCCTTTTCCAATCCTTCCCAGTTCCCACATATTTCCCTTCTGTAAAATAGAAAACCTGGATGATGATTTCAATTGATGAAATTCCACGGCCAGCATCAATGCATCTATGACTTTTGCTTACAGTAGGATAGTTCTTCTTTCCATTAAATTTCCTGGTATTTTCAATTTTGCATTGCCTACTTTAATCATAGCCTTCTCCATCTCTAGGAGGACCACAGTTTCACAGTTGGAGGTTTCAAGCAATTCGCGTGTCAGGGTGGACTTGTTTGATGAGTTGAAACAGAGATTTCTGAGTTTTAAAGAGCACAAATATTTGTAAGTACCACCTAGCTGTTTGATTGTAAATGAGGTTTTCCTTCATGTGAAAAAAAAAAAAGGTTTTTTTTTGTATGCCTAGTAAATTTTCCCTTTCAAGCAGGGAAGAATTGGAGCATTTTCAAACCCTTAAAGAAGCTCAATCACCCAAGGTAAGAAACGGACTCTCTTTATCCCTTATCCATCATCACTCTCTTCTAAGCTTTCTATTATCCTGTTTTTAGTATGATACTATCTGTTTCACTGTGTCTGTCAAACTTGACTGATTACTAACAAGTTCAAAAACAGTTCATGGTAATTGCTTGTGCAGACTCCAGGGTATGCCCTTCTACGATTCTTGGATTTCGACCTGGAGAAGCCTTCATGATTCGAAATGTTGCAAATCTTGTTCCTCCGTTTGAGGTATTTGGCCCATGGTGCTTAACTTTACCGAAACTCTTCTCTTCCATATCCTTATCATATTCAATTGTAACTGACATTTATGGATTTCTAAATATCCAAGCGTGGAAAACAAATAATCTGCCTTATTCTTCGCAACATATAACACCGTTCTGTCATTTTTCTATTCACCAGAATGGACCATCGGAAACTAATGCTGCCCTTGAGTTTGCAGTAAAAACTCTTGAAGTAAGTGATTATTTGCAAGATACATGCTAAGTTTTCTGTCTCTGTAAGACAAAATTTCCTCGAATGTGCTTATGAACAATGCATGCTGGAACTGCTGAATTGTCGGGCGATAACAACCTTGCCTCTTCCTTGATGAAGCTTAATTCTGGTTATTTCTAATTTGGGTCTGTTGCTTAATTTAAAATGTAGGAAATGCTCCATTGAAAAACTCTAGTACTAGTATTTAACAGGTTTGAGTTGAAGGAGGGCATGCTTACCACCTATATGATCATATAAAAAGAGAAGAAGAAGCATTCATTGTCTAAACAGATTGGGACACTTATTCATTAACAATGGAGGATTCGATGCAGAATTTAATGGTTTTCTTGTGAAGCATTGATTTACGTGCTTCTGAATGGGCTGCATGATCTGAATGAATTCAAAATGTAGATCAGGAGTAAAATTTTGTCCATGTCTGTGTCTCTGATATACCATGTCCTTGCCTAATTTGGATATAAAATTCGTTTTTGCCATCAGTAGGTTGAAAACATATTAATCATTGGTCACAGTTGCTGTGGAGGAATTCAAACCCTTATGAGCATGCGAGACGATGGAGACTCCAGGTGATGATACATAACTCCTCTTAATTACTCATGGTAAATTTCCTGCTCATGTTGCTCATTGGAGCTTGTTTTTGTTCTGAGCAGTTTTATCAAAAGCTGGGTTACAACTGGGACAGTTGCCAAGTTAAGAACAGAAGCTGCGGCAAACCACCTTAGCTTTGATCAACAATGCAGACTCTGTGAGAAGGTCACCACTCTCTTCTTAGATCATCATTTCAAAATTCTGTACCGGAAACTACGTTAATGGAGGGATTATATTCAACATCAGGGTTCCATCGAATTTTGTTGCAGGAATCCATAAACCGCTCACTACTGAACTTGCTAACATATTCCTGGATAGAAGACAGGGTGAGGAAAGGACTGCTTTTTGTTCATGGAGGATACTATGATTTTCTGAATTGTACATTTGAGAAGTGGACGCTTGATTTCAAGGGAAGCAGTGGTGAAGAAGGGGCCAGGCTCTTAGTCAAAGACCAAGAACTTTGGTGCTGATTGTCTTGCCCTTGTATCCATCATAGATAGAAATCTTCCTTCCCGTAAAGATCGAAAATGTAAACAAAATTGATTTGAAGATCTTCATAGGGACTAATCATTGTTATAAACCAAGAAAATTATATCACTACTAAGCCACATTATAATACAGATTTTTGTGGAAATGAATTGAACCACATTGCATTTTGCAATTGCTAGATCGATCTTGAACTCAGTAATGTGATTGTGGAGCTAAATCGGTGGTAGATTTGGACAGTGTAAGTTAAATATTGAGGTCAAGATGATTAATCTTACATTTTCAATTTTGTTAATATACGATGTTTATACATTATCACTTAATCATATGGCGTTATTTTATAAACGGGTAAAAAGTTAAAGCACAAAAGTCATTCAAATGTTTTAAAATTACAAAATAGTTATTTTTAAAGTTTTCAACTTTTAAATTTATATATTAAGAAAGTGAAGGTGTTTAATTTAATGATTAACATATTTATATATTAATAATATATTAAATATATATTTTTAAAAATTTAATTAAATACATTTTACTATTCAATTTATGATATATGTCAACAAAATTTTTTTAATAATATCCGAAACTTATATCGCACCCTAAAGTTGAAAACCTTAGGGCTGTAAATTAAATTTTGAAGCCATTTAAGGGGTCAAAGTATAATATTCATAAAAGAGGTTAAAAACACATGCAAAGTGACAGAAGAAAACAAACCTCAGCTTAAAAGGGTAACATCAAAGCTGCACAAACACAAAGACAAATTAAAATCAGAGCTGCATTTGCAGAGAGAAGAAAACCGGGAGGAGACGAGTCGAAAGCCCAAATCATGATATCTCAGTTCTTCGTGCTCTCTCAGCGAGGCGATAACATAGTTTTTCGCGATTGTCAGTCCCATCTTCTTCTACTCTCCTCCTCTTACTTTCTCTCTGGATCTAAACTTCACTTTCTTTTTTATTTTTCCCTTTCGCTATAATTATTTCTCGTTGAAAGCTCGCGATATAGGGTTTCTATTCAGATCCTTTACTTTTAAGTTTTTCTCAATAATTTGCGCGATAATTGAGTTCATGGATCTGGATTAATTCGTAGTCGATCCTTGTTCAGTTCAATTGGATAGAAAAATATAGGATGTAAAACGATCCTTCTCCTAGGCTGCATTTCAATATATAATTTATGCTGATTTAGCTCTCATTTTTTGCCTTTATTTTTCTTTCCCTTTTCGAACCTTAATTTTCAAATCCATTTGGATCAGCTGTCATTGCTTCTCCATTGATGAACGAATGATTTGAGCTTGGAATCGATTTTGCATGTTAACTTTCTGTAAAATTAATAGGAATAAAGGGCCTTGCAAACTATATGAGGATTTCTGGATAATGAAATTCATGATGCCTATGGAAAGTTCTTGACGTTTATATGAATTTTCATGGTTGGCAATTTAACATGTAGATTAATGCAAGATAGTTAAGATTAGCGGGTATATGTTTTCCTTTGATTTGATTCTATTGAATGGAAAGATTTTTACAGTCCAAGACTTGGTTTTCCCTTGACACTAACAAACAATTGTTACTGCAGATCGCGGTGAAGTAGCAAAAGGAAGTGCAGAGATATTCTTCCGTAAAGTTAAGTTTTGGAAAGAGGATGGACAAGAGGAGGCACCCCCTGTCTTTGTAGGTATTATCTTACTAAAGAATGTAATTCAGGCAGTATATTTATATACAGGCGGAACAAATGATTTTGCGTTAAGGGAGTAATCTATGTATTTTATCTCTACATGGTACATATACCTATTTATATGTTAAATTTTCTTGATTGGTTCGTTCACTTCCTATTTTTTGGTTCAATGGCCAGTTTATTTTCTGATGGATATTTTATTACTTGATTATCATAGTATCCAAGCTGATGCAATGCTCTAATTGTTTTATATATTTCTTTTGATCGATAGAATGTGGATGGCGTGAACTACTTCCATGTGAAGGTTGTTGGGCTGTTGTTTGTTGCAACCACAAGGGTTAATGTGTCACCATCTCTTGTCCTGGAACTTCTGCAAAGGATTGCTCGTGTCATTAAAGATTATTTAGGGGTTTTAAGTGAAGATTCACTGCGGAAAAATTTTGTACTGGTATATGAGCTGCTTGACGAAGTCATTGTAAGTTTCTTTCATACTAAACTTGTCAGTGCTATATTCTTACTATTTTTTGTGAAAAGCTGCTGCAACTAAGGGATTATTGCATCATGGGTTAGCTCAAGAAGTCAATATTAGTTTATAATAGGCTGCATTTTAGAATTTATTTCTACATTAGAAAAATTATTTGCTTCCAATGAAATGTGCTAAACTTTTGTTACTCTGGTGAAGTATTCACTGTTTATTATGCACTGTTCTTCAGAAAAGATTTAAACTGACCCTTCCTACTTTTTTTTTCACTAGGACTTCGGTTATGTGCAAACAACATCTACTGAAGTTTTGAAGTCTTATGTATTTAATGAGCCAATAGTGGTTGATGCTGCACGTTTGCAACCTCTGGGCCCTGCTGCCATCTTTATGGTATGATGAGATTATGTGATTATTAACCTTCGAATAAATGGTACTCTCTTTTTTATCGACATGCACTTGTGAAGCAATTGATTTCTCAAATTTGGATGCATGCAGCAAGGATCCAAAAGAATGCCTGGGACAGCAGTTACAAAGTCTGTTGTAGCCAATGAGCCTGGAGGTCGGAAGAGAGAGGAAATTTTTGTGGATATAATTGAGAAAATCAGTGTCACATTTAGCTCAAGTGTGAGTAACTGCATTCTTTTTATATTGGGATTCAACATTCTAAATTGTACAAAATTTCGAGTTATCTGACATTTATAATCTAATACTAATGCATACAATCACTGGTTGAGTTGAGTCAGGCCAACTGGGTAGCATTAAATAGTTGTGGATGAGTTGAAATATTATCTTATTTGGTGGCTTGTTTTTTACTATTTATTCCCATTCCCTCTCTTTTTGAATAAACTTAAGTTCAATAACTACCATTCTGTTCTTTCTCTCCCCATTTTCAAAGTTCTCTCTCTCTCTCTCTCTCTCTCTCTCTCTGTGCAGTTGTTTATTTGCAGGTAATAATTTTTTTAAACAAAAAGTTTGCTGTCCCACACATACACACACTCCCATGATGTAGTGCATAATTGTATGGACCACAGTTAACCAATTCAATGATGTTTTAAACAGGGATATATACTGACTTCTGAGATTGATGGAACTATTCAAATGAAAAGTTATCTGACAGGAAATCCAGAAATCCGATTAGCACTTAATGAAGACCTGAGCATAGGAAGAGGGGGATCAGTCTATGGTACTGCCTTCTTACATTCCTATTAATTATACAGTTTTGTTTTTGAGAATCATCTTTCTATAGAGATGCTGCCTTCAAGTTTTCATCGCAAATAGTTAACTGAAATGAAGGCTCTAATATATGAGATCTGTGTTGCCCCGTGAGGAGCACTGTTGCCAAGTTTTTGTGCTTGATGAATTATTTTTTCTAAGGTTGCTTGCGAGGATTACTTCCTTTTCTTGTTTGAGTATTATGAGATTCAGCCATAACTCTCAATTTTAACATGTTTCTACTTTAGTCTTTGATATGAATATTCTTGGCAATATCATTTAACCTACTTTTTGCACCTACTTTTCACCCACTATTTCAATCCAGTATAATTTTTTAATAAGCACTATTGCCACTTATTATAATTGATTTTGTGCTTGATGAAGTTATTTTTTTAAAGTTGTTTCAAGAGGATTATTTCATTTGCTTGTTTGAGTGCTATGTTATTCAGCGACGATTCTCAACTTTAACATGCTGCAACTATTGTCTTTGATATGAATGTTCTTGGCAATATCGATTTCACCCACTATTTCAATCCAATGATTTGCCATTCTACTGGGTCTGCTTGTTGTGGCAGATTATAGGAGTTCATCTGGTGCAGGGCCTGTGATACTCGATGATTGTAATTTTCATGAATCAGTGCGTCTTGATAGTTTTGATATGGACAGAACCCTGGCTCTGGTGAGTGAAACTTAGATGATAGCATCTAGAACATTGTGCAGAGATTTGTAGGGACTATAAATATTTTTTGCATCATTCAGGCACATGTTTTCATTCTGCTATTGTCTTTCAGGTACCACCAGATGGTGAATTTCCTGTCATGAACTACAGAATGACACAGGAATTCAAGCCTCCTTTTCGTATTAACTGTTTAATTGAAGAAGCAGGACACCTTAAGGTGAGCTTGTATTTCTTGACTTCCATACTTCATGATGGTTTCATTATATCCCTTTTTTTTCATACCCATAAGCATGTAATATTTCCTAAAATATTAATGAGATGAAAAGAACTTATTTTATGTACGAATTCGTTTAGTTCTATAATAAATTTGAAATTATTGAGCATTTGCCTGCTTCAATTATTTATGCTGTGCTATTAAAATTTTAGGCAGAAGTAATTCTGAAAGTACGCGCAGAGTTCCCCTCAAACATTACCGCAAACACAGTTGTTGTGCAGATGCCACTTCCTAAGTATACTACCAGGTATTTTCCTTTTCCCGTCTTTTATACTTGGTACATTTTCTGTTGATTGCATCTTTTAAACTTGGTAATTTTCAGAGCTAGTTTTGAGTTGGAACCTGGAGTTGTTGGGCAAAGAACAGATTTCAAAGAAGCGAACAAGAAACTAGAATGGGGTTTAAAGAAGGTAAAAATATTTTACCGATGCTTTGAAAAGTTTTCACCAGTAAATTCTTCAGTTACGTGATAGCTTTTTCCCTTTCGATGTGTTAATCATGATTTTGCTATGCTTGGCAGATTGTTGGTGGATCAGAACATACACTTCGTGCAAAGCTGACATTTTCACAGGAATCACATGGTACGTATCATCCATAATTTATTGTTTCAAAAGAATTTCTTTTTCTAAATTTTGTCTCTCAATGTGATAATTTCATTTGAGAATGTGTTAAATTCATTTTCCATTGATGAAATATTTATGTTTTAATTCAGCAAACATCACAAAGGAAGCTGGACCAGTTAGCATGACTTTCACAATACCAATGTATAATGCGTCAAGGCTTCAGGTAAAGATACTGTCTTAGTGCTGATTGCCTATTGTGGGTTGAGACCTCCATATTTTGGCTGATAAAAGCAAAAGTTTTATCAGA